TTTGCAAAGAATCCGCCCACCTTGTACTCCAGAGTCTGCTTCAGCATGTCCTCTTCTTCTCGAGTGAAGTTCAGCAGCACAGATACAGCTCTTATCAGCTGGTATGCCTATCAGAGCAAAACAAGCAGCGCTTCAGTCTGAGTGTGCAGCTCAGCCAGGCTCCGTCATGCAGTCAACACAAACCAGACTCCTGCAGAGCCACACGTTACCTCTGCCTCTCTGGATGACATGAACTTGAGGACGACGTGCTTGAGATACTCAAAATTAATTTCTCTTGAGTCGTTGAGGTCCGAGGTGTTGGTCACTGTGGTGTTGGAGGTCGGGGGACTCGGGGTGGATGCAGGTGCAGGGTCAGGACAAACTCTCTCCGGTTTTTCTGCTCTGCTTTCAGGTAGCTTCTCCCTCGCTTCAGCTTCGGACTCAGGTTTTAATTTCTACAGAGCACGAAGAGAGAAAAGCACTTACAGAATCAAATCATTCTGCGTTTACACCCGATAAGCAGCCAGAATCCAACCAATAACAAATTTGACAATTAAGAAAAAACGTGATTGTTTTAGGTTACAGCAGCAGTACAGGTTTGTTTCTGTGGAACCTGAGGCCTGTATGACACAGGACTCTGGCTTATCCAAGCACCTTCAGGGCTCACGCCTTACTAATTTGCTCTAATAACTTGTTCTGTGAAGCTAACGCTGGAGAAGTCATTCTTTACTCTGAAACCCTTAAACAGCACCGAGTCTGCAGCTGAGAGACTGAAACCTAAAACAGGCTGGAGCAGGTTATGTTCAGAGCTCTGTATTAACAATCATCTGGACGTCGTTTGTTTACAGAATGTTTACAGTGCACGATCCTCAGCTGGGCTACGTTCTGTGTGCACAGCCTAAGGCTACGTTCACTCTGCAGGTCTTGATGCTCAATTCCGATTTTTTGATCAAATCCGATTTTCTTGTCTGCTCGTTCACACTACAAATAAAATGTTCACGTTTCTCCAACGTTGTCTTTCCAACAGTTTCACGGGATGGCCAGGAAGCGTTCACGATGTCTTCTCCG